TGAGACTATTTTTTACTTCCTCGAGTTTTTACTCAAAGAGTTACGAAAGAAAGGAAATTATGAAAATTTTAGTCAGTTTCTGAAATTCGAAGTAAATAGACACCAGAAATGTCACGATCCATGGATCTGACAGTGAACAGCGTCATATCTGTTTAATTTCCAAAATTAAATTTTCTAACGAATCATTCTCGAAACTTTATCGTCCCTCTTCGTATTCTACCAACTCTAATTTTCATTTGTTCCTTTTTTTATAAATGGTATCGACAAGGAGGACTTACTGAGAACTTTGACTTGTGGAATCCACGGTAAAGCGAGGACGTTCTTCGGCAAATCACGTGGCAATTCTTGAGGGTTCGCTATTTTCATTAAAACGCGAACAGGTGCTATCTTTTCCAGAGAATTGTAGAATATCTCGAGATGACGAGATGGGAAGGACTCGATCTTGACCATCGAGCCAAACGAGAAGTAGATGAACCCGTTCGTGCTCTCGTTCATCCATTTCTCTAAGCTCTGGAAACAATTGTTATATCTCACCATTCTAATTTTCCTATTGTAATTTAACGAACTTTTGCACTGTCCTCGTTAGCTAAATTGCTACTTGTTAATCCATTGTTCTAAATTTATTTTCTAAATTGAAGCAGATCCGTTTGAGTAACTATTTAAACAATTTTGGAAGACCCATCATCTGCGTTTTCGCACACAGCGTTTCACATCCGCGATCCACACTGGCCAGAACTGTTCGTGAATAGAAGCAGCAATGTGTCTACACTGAAGTTCGCGAACAGCTCTCGAATAGTTCGCGAGCAGTTCGCGAACATTTCTAGCCAGTGTGGTCGCGGCACACTATTTGAGAACAGTGTGAGGAAAAAGGGTTACACTTGGGAGCTTGTAGCGAAGATATATTTTGACAAAAGTTACATATTTCAGCTCAGAAAAATGTTTGGAAAAGGGTCTACAGACGCACTCACTACGGTGTGCGTCAAGGCGTTTCTTAATCGATCAGCTGACCAATTAAAACCTGATTGGCAAATCAATGATCCGTAACATGAACACGGGTATTTTAAAAAGAGTGAACATTATTACACGCACCGTTATCGTCATTTCTGATTCATCTGCGTACCAAAGGGTCGTTCTGTTTAAATAAATAAATAAATAGAGTAAGAAACAGAATAATAGTTACGGGAGATATTTCTACTCCTTCTTCCTGCACGTGCAGTCCTCCAACTTCGACAAATGCCGGCGTTGATTCCTTGATTCCGTTCATCGACATGTGCGAGTTCACCAGTATCATAGCTATTTTTCTTTCGAGTTCCCTGACGGAAGGCGCGTCAGGGCTCACGTACTTCCTCAACAACTCCGTCTGTTCGCTGGAAGCGGACATGAACTCCCATTTATTGTACAACGTGTACACGAAATTGTACGTCCTCTGCCAGAAGTTCATGTTCTGTGGATAGGAGAGTAGAATGCTCGGTGCGAACGCATAGTTCCCCGGATTTCCGATAAAATCATAAGTCCATGGATAAAGAGCGGATGAACTAGCACCGATCACTGGTACCTTCAAAACTTCGCCTAGTATCGCGAAACAGTGTGCTCCGAATATCTGAAACAAATGTACAACAGGTGTTTGTTTATCTTATTTTTATTTCGTATTTAGAGTCGCATCGACTAAAGTCGTTACTCGTTAGTAGAATGCGGATTTTTATGCAAATTCATATTTCTATGGATAAAATTTGAAAAATGAAAGGTAGATAGACAATTGTTCTATTCGCTAAATATTATAACGAGTACTATATTTTTGCTCGTTACGTGCATTCTGTGTACTTTTCTGCCCTCAAATTTTCCATAAATGCATCGAAATCCGCATTCTACTCGTCAGCAACTTTGCCGGTCGTTCTTCAATCTATCGTAAGGTTTCTGTAATCGAAATTTACGAAATTTTCATTCATACCACTGTATTCTAGAAACGAACAAATTTTACCTAGTTAACACAATTTTGAGCAAGTATTTACAGCTTTGAAGAAACTTTGAAGCATTCCACGAGAACTTCGAAATCTCGATTTGACGTTTACGATTGGGTCATCGATGAGGTAATTGAAGAAGCTCTGAATGAACGTCAGATCACTGATAAGAAAAAAATTTCTTCCGGAAGTTTTTCGTTCGCTTTTCGAAAATGGAGGACCGCGACACTCGAGTCTTACGGGTTCGTCTTATCGTCGAACTTGAAAGATCGAACGAGCATAAAGCTAACCTGTTGGAAAATTTAGAGTTCTTGCGATTTTCTTCTGCGAAAGTTTGCGGTAGTTTTGTAAATCCTCGAACATCGTTGAAAATAGTTTATTTAGATGGAGTCGATCTCGGTTTGCTCGTCGATATTGCTATTTTCAGAAGATGGTAATTGACATCTCGAGTTAGACGTGCCGTCAGGTGTTTATCTTTTCGAAAGATATTCGTAAAAACGGAATATGTACGTAAGCGACGCCATAAATATCCTGGCTAACGTATGTACTGGAAAAACGGCGGATTATTAGTTGGGAGATTATATTCGAGGAGATTATATTGGAAAATAGATAACACATGTTGGTTCTTTTATACCTGTTCTATTCTACTTAAGCCGGCAATCTCTGGTACGTCAAATTTATATACAGGGTGTCCCAGAAAGATCTGAGAACTTAATTACATCTCCTGTCGTTTGAATTTTTCATTTGGAATTTTATCACGTTTTTGGTGTTTTAGGTTATGTTCACGGTTGTTTCAAGCTTTCATACCTGAAATTGTTCGCATACATTTCTATTTTGGAAATGCACCTGTGTAGTGAAAATGTCGAAAAAAATGAGATTTCAGAGCGATTTTACGATAGGTACTTGAAAGAATGCATTTTAACACTCGCTACAAAATAATTACCGGCGATAATAAAAAATGTTCTTCTTTCGAAATCATTCAGATTGTGTCTTAAAGTTAAAGGTAAAATAAATATAATACTGTGACGACCGCCACGGGGGGGCCACGCACTTAAGCCTGGCGACTCTTGGCCCTCGAGGCGAAGAATCGAGAGATGTTTTTCCAAACATCTCCGAGCTTCTTCGTCCTCGAGGACAAAAGTATTGCCTCGGCAGTGCAAGCCCGCGCCTCCACTTCCTGGGACTTAAGGGAGCCCCGAAAAAGGCACCAGGCCTTTTGTCGTAGAGCTTCTCTTACATGCGCATCATGTATATACATTTGAAATTAGTTTAAATAAATATATTTTTGTTACCCACTTTACCGAATAATCATTTGCACCACGTCACTTTCAAAATACTAATATAAAAATTGTCCAGTGTCATTAAGAACAAGGTTTTGTTGGGACACTTGGTATATTCAAGCTAAAACGTGGTAGAAAATCCCTTCTGAACGTAACGAAAAATTAAAATACTCACTTAATTACCTTTTCGGTCTTTCGGAAAGATAAAATAATTAATGACCATGATAGGAGTTTTCTGTAACTAAAGAGCTACTTTAAAGAGATATTTTTTCTCTTTTTTTCTTTTAAGTCGAAGTTTCATTTCGAGAAGAGAATTTTGTAAAGTCGAAGTTCAATTTTAAGAGGAGGATTTTTTAAAGCGGAAGTTTAATTTGAAGAAAAGAATTTTGTAAAGTGGAAATTTGATTTCGAGAAGAGAATCTTTTAAAGTCGAAGCTTAATTTAAGAATTCTAATTTCGAGATTTCAATTTCAACTCCCGTTCACTCAGAAAGATTAAAACAATTTTTAGAAATTACTAAGCTTGAAAAGTAAACATTCCAAGTAATATCTATGCGGAAGTTTCCATCGCTTGTAAATCGATGGCAAGGCACTGCTGTATATGCTTCTTTCCTCGTTTAAATCTTCACAGTTGGTATTTACCCCGAATACAGTATTAATATTACATGAGGTCACTCCATAAATTCGTCTCGAATTTTATAACCCAGATCAATATTTCCAACGAACCTTTAAATTTGACAAGAAAAACGTTACCGCCTTCTCATTCCACAACTTTTTCCCATTTTCTTCTTTTCTTGCTAACACTTGTTTAGTTACTTCATTTTTTATTTTTATTTTTGTCTATATTATATTTCCTGCTGTCTAAATTATACTGGCTCTATGGAGGCAATATGCGAATATCGTGTGCTTATGGGCAACACTACTTTGTTAGTGTCAGTTACTTTATTGGAAGTCGCACGTGTCAGAGGGGACGCATTTAGCAGCGTAGGCCTTTTGTAAAAGGATATCGGAACCTTAGAACCTGTCGTTGGGGAATAGGTTCGGTGGTGACGTAGAAACTAGTGGCAAAGGACTCCACGAACATAAAGAGGACGTGTGCACGGGGCCGGTGGCCCGACATCACCGAAGCTTCGTAGCGCGTACAGAGATAAGGATTCGAAACAAAGGATCTCGCCACGAAGTGGGACTCTCCGGGAAGAGGACTGTGTCAGAAGGCACGGCACTTACCCGGGAACCTTCTGTAAGAAACACTCGACAACAAAGAACTAATATCCGGATAGTGCGGTATCCCAAAAATAACTTATTCTTTATTTCTAAGCGCTTCTTAAGATTTCCGGCGTCCGTCTTGCTCGATGGCTATTTCCAGAATGTCCTTTCCGCGTCGTATCCCACGTTGCTCCGAAAAACCGTTGGAGCCCCCTCGTTCGACTTTCCAGGGAAAGGGCTCAGTTTATGGGACCCTCAGGTACCCGCGCGCTTTCTCTTCCTGGGTGACAAATTCCAGGCCACCACTTTGCCGCCGGAATCTCGCATTTCTTACACTTCGGTGTAAGAAGAATTGGAACAATTTCTAACAACTTAATAACGTAAAATTGAAAAATAACTTATTACATTTGTAAGAAATGCGAGATTCCGGCGGCGAAGTGGTGGCCTGGACTTTGTCGCCCAGGAAGAGAAAGCGCGCGGGAACCTGAGGGTACCATAAAATAAGCCCTTTCCCAGGAAAGTCGAACGAGGGGGCTCCAACGGTTTTTCGGAGCAACGCAGGATAGGACGCGGAGAGGACACTCTGGAAATAGCTGTCGAGCGAGACGGACATCGGAGCACTTAGCAGTCGCTTATCACTATACTTTAATACATTTTTGATTAACACCCTATCCTGTGTTAAATTTACTTAAGTTGTGCTGACATACGATGGAAACTTGTGCGTAGATCAAATAAAAAAATGTTCTATGCAATATCTGAGCAGTGTAGAAAATATTGTAAACAATATCGGTGATATAAATCCACGATAACAGCGTGACATTATTTCTTTTTATTTCCTGCTGTTTATCGGTTCTCGCCTTATCAGCTATTATCCAAATGGTGAAAAGGAAATTGCGTAACAAGTAGCAAAAGACAAAGTACTGTTTACGTCTTTAGCGGCAGAGTCATGCCGCGTGTCGATAGTTTTAGACTGAAGATTCCATCAATAAGGATTTATCGAGAAATGACGGAGCATCTTGGTATCTCGCGTTACTGGACAGATTTGTTTGTGCTTGTCGATTAGTGCCGATGACTTTGCAGTTACGCACAGGCTATCAGGAAAAATACTAAAACTCGTGCAGTGGAAATTAATTAACGTTCATTATTTTTCGTTCTGTTTCTTTTTTTTTTAAATACCGCCAGTTACGTTATTAAAAGTGACAAGGAGAAATTTATATCAAAATGTCTGATTTTCAGTGACGTGATTTTCTATTCGACGTACAAGCTCGTTTCACGTGAACTTGATGAATTTCTTTTAGGTAGAATTGCGAACACGTTTTGTCAGGAAATTATTGAAAAATGCATTTGTAACTTGCCGAATTATTCATATAAATGCATCGTTATTGTACGTTACTTTGAATGTATCAACTGAACTTTTCGGTTTCTTTAAGATCGTTTATTAATTAAAAATTAGAGTACCGATAGAAGATTTTCCTGTTAATTCTTGTTAATTTCACGTGACAGACATTTGCGTCATTTTTCCTTGAATTGTAGCAACTCTTAGTTCTATATTAATTATCATTCACGAGAAGTTAAAGAGTTCAGTTTCATGCGTTGACCGTTGGTACTTTGCTCGACCGTTATCTACATACGTATTTCTGTCACCGATCAGTTCTAAATTTAATACCACACATTTACATTGTTACGATTTCACTAAAAGATATGACAAACGTCAATGTAGTGGCATTTAAATTTTCGAATATGAAAGTCAGTTCTACATATAAAAATAAAATGAAATTTCATATTCGCTGAAACTTCTTCGAATTATTCGTGTGGCGACCGCCACGGGGGGACCACGCACTTAGGCATGGCGACTCTTGGCCCTCGAGGCGAAGAATCGGGAGATGTTTTTCCAAACATCTCCGAGTTTCTTCGTCCTCGAGGACAAGAGTATTGCCTCGGCACTTCCTGGGACTTTCCCAGGGAAAAGGGGCTACTTAAGGCGTTGACTGCCGCGCGCATTTTACGTGGTTTGCCCATGGCGCCAACCTGAATTTTTTATTATGCGTTGCCATTCACCGGTGACCCCCACGGCGCTGCAGCCAAGTCGAGTGCCGGTCACCGGTGACCCCCATGGCAGTCAACGTGTTAA